TGTACAGAGCGGGGTTCCATTGGACCCACTAAGACATTGTACAGAAATCGCCACGGTGTTCTGTAGTTCAACACAAACAAACTTACTCGTCGTATTTTGTAATTGATCCTTTGTTTAATTCATTATAACACTTACATTCTCTCACATTGTGTAACATCGGGTTAGTATACTCGTGTATATACATATTAAACATGAAATGGTGACACGTTCAAGTAACCCTATAGTGTTTTATACATACAAGTTTAGGTTCCTGATACTTTAAAACAATATATGGTAAAGCATTCATGATCAAATAACAATCATGTATGTAGTCAAGTAGCACTGAATATAAAAGTGAACTTTCTGTATACATCAAATATGCGACAATGATATTGAAACATGTACCGATTACTATACAATTAAGTGGTTAAGATTACGTGTATTAGACACAGCTCATAGTCGGGTAAACAGAGATTCGGCAAAAGATTTTACGAACAAGTCGTACGTCTGATATGATGTGTATCATTAAGATTTAAACACTATCTGGGATTTACATAAAAACGCTTTACGAGATATGTTTTACAATGAGACCATGTGACATTGATATACTAGTTTGTTAAGGATAATCATGGAGCTCCGGCATAAACGTAGACACCCCCCGCAGTGTTGACTGCGCCGAGCTTATGGTAAATACAACCACAGAAAAATGGTGCTTTACAATCTCCCATCGTGCCTCTGTTTCGGCTTCCGGAATAGACTCGATCTCGAATAAAGCGTCTACTAGACCTGGAAAACTGCTTCCGGCGTAGGTATCAACACTACTCTCCGCAAATAGGATGTGTCTGAAGTCAAGTAGAGCAGAGAGTACATATACACATTTAACATGTTTTAGATTAAAAAGGGAATTTGCAATATTTAACAGATATACATTAAATTCGACTTTTGACTATTAAAACGGTGGTACGCAAAACTTCATCCCCGCGAATTTCTTTAAGTAGGAAAACAAGAGAATACCGAAATGATTACACCTATAAAATTTGGTAAGAGAAACAGTATGCCAAAAATTAATTACACTGCACCACAAACAGTGTTTGTCAGATTGTTGTCAACTACAACTGAAACAGATCTAGAGGTGGCGGTGCGTTCAATCCATCAATTTAAGAAAATAGTCCATGGATACCATTGAAAAGGTACAAAGCAAAAAAGACGAGGAGTTCCGGAAGGGTAAGCGTATTTCTGCTTTATCGTTGACACTCGCCATGTAAAATATAGGTCAAATCCAAACATTTTCGGAATAAACCACAATATCATACATTAATATATAATTAAGTGCATAATATATTCTAAAAGGCTTTGGCTAAAGACGATACAGTGATTTGTATACTCACAAACAACTTAACTATACTAAAGAAGCAGTTTATAAATCGTTTGAAGCTGAATGCTACATTTTGTGATATTTCTTAAAATTTAAATGCTGTATTTCGCTGGTAAGTTTTGCATTCGACTGCAACCGTCGTTCTATTTTTGGAAACACACTAAAATTCGTATTGCTTAAGACCACGCTTTACTTGTCAATAGACTGATATACAAAAATCTTTATCTAGGTAGCACTTTGTCTGTTTACAACTAAAAAACTAACCTGGACTGGGGTCGACCTGGTAGTCCCGCGGGATCCAAAAACGCCCGTTCCATGAGGAGCAGCTGGTCGTTAATACGGCGAATGGCGAACGGGCTATAAAGTATTTTTTGTAAATAATTATTGAGTGTGTCTATCTGACTATAAAGAAGTTTCTTAATGGATTTACTGATAATCGCATACGGCTGAACTACGAAATAAAACATATGTATGTTACAGAGATACACCTCAGCCCTTTCCATGGCAAATTTTCCCTTTGACCCTAAACCTTGACCGTTGACCACCAAATTGTAATCAGGTGTTGATCTTGATGTTACCATATGATGTTTAAGATACGTGAAGTACGCAAATTATATACCCCTGTATTACGTACAGGTTATGGCAAGATTGCAGTGGGAAATATGTAAATGAATAACTCGAATATTAAAGCAAAGACACGCTACCAGTCATAAATCAAGATTTTTACGAAACAGATGTTAGTGATGCGATTTATACATGCAATACTAACCACATTTATTAATTATATAAAAATTTGTCAAAGAAGTTTGGGAATCGTCTAACAAGGAGGTCGTCATATGTAGCATTGTCAATGTGTATATAGACCAATATGATGATTTGAATATCTACCATCCACTGAATGTGAACAAATTACAGCATACCATTTAACATAATGTATTTTGAGCATACTCTATATAGTGATTAAAACTTTATAAAGAAGAAGGAATAACTTACTCATTTTTGTTTACGTTGTCAATTAAAGTTTTGAATGTCTCTGCTTCAGAAGAAAAATTGCCTGCTGCCTGCTTTATCCAATCTAAAAAATGTAGACCATCATGATAAGAAAAATATACAACAGTGTATTTCATCGTCAATTCACATCACATATACCAAAAGACAAAATAGATCACGTTGTCAATACACAAAGACAAAATGTATCATATCTATAATACCCAAAGACA